ATGATTATGCAAAAGAAACGCTTGACATACATAATATATTGTGTTACTGTAGAATAAAAGAATCATTATTGACCAGTTGACCAAATTGGAGTCAGGAAAGCGGGTAACGATCAATCAATCATCATTTACCCCAGTGCCGCAAAGGCTCCCACCTATGGTGGGGTAAGGGGGGGTCGGATGTACGCAGTCTTACCCCTGTACTAAAGCACAGAGAGACTGTTTCCAGATGATCCATAAAGCGGGTAACGATAAATAGTAAAAATAGAAATTATAAATCAATACATGCGAAACAAATGAATGGATAAAAATGCCTTGGGAGTTTTAAAGAGAGCATAATGAAAGATACCAGCATATACGAGAGGTAATAAAAAAAATACCCGTTCTAAATTTATTCTGTACAATTCCGGTGATGAAGCAGCACACATCAAATCACATGACCAACAATCATATGCAATATCTCTTCCCATCCTATTCCAGACCGAACATAAAAAACATTTAACTATTAAATTAGACTCTAGGTCAGCTAAATGATGATATATGTCATCAGAGTAAAGCTTAAAATGAACAGGATATCCAATGAGGCAATGAAGTTCTACTGCCTATCTAGAAAAAGCACTAAGACACTACGCACGTGATAATTTACAAGATTTAGCAAAACCTTTTTTTTATTTTTTTTGTTATAGAAATATATATGTTTCCATCATTTGCAATGGATCCAAAGATTCATTATTTTTGGCTTGAGAATATGATGGAATAAAGCAAAATGGCTCACTAAACTGTCTGCGCTTCTTTCTTATGAAGCAGCAGCCAGTCCATGCAATTTTGGATGCGATTTTCACTATGGGTCATCCGGAAACAGTCTCTTTGTGCTTTAGTACCGGGGTAAGACTGCGTACATCCGACATTTCAAAGAATGAAAATTTAAGAATGACACCTTCATCTGGAAACATGTAGTTAAAATAACACCTTCATCTTTAATTATATGTATTATTCATGAGTGACACTTAGTACGGAAGATCATTTGAATAATTAAATATTAATTATCAAATGCTTCTCTACTTTGGCTACCGAAAATATGAACTCATCCAGAGACATAGTGCCAAACAAGCATCCATAAGCCAAAGCGCACATTGGCACATCCTCATCATTATCAGCACCTTAATCCCAACTAGTTGGGATAGGTGTCATTAAATTTATAGTGCAAATTAATTATGAAAAGGTAATTAAATTTTAAAACTGTAACTTTGGGCAAAAAAAAGTTGGTGACAAAATTCTACGAAGGATGCCCTTTCTGTTGCAACTCCCATGAGGCCATGAGAAAGAATACTAAGATAACAATTCTAAAACCTTCAGCATCATTGGTAATTTCCACATACATATATTTGCTATTGTCATGTCCGTTACAACGTGTTAATATCTTTTAGCACCCAAAAGTATGGGATTGGAGCAAAATAAATGTTACGTCACTGTAAAAAAACTCAAAGGTCCTTATCTACACAAGATTACTTCTATGATAGAAATTGCTTGTGATATAAGGTGCTCAGTTATTCAGTTTTTACTCCTACTATAAAACTTGTGTAGTCATTCTTGATATGTGCTCAAAATTTAATGTAGGGAGAAAAGAACCTTGGAATGCGTATACTGTAGTGACTTCCATATTTTGCATGAAGGCAAACAGAGCGATCGGCGCAAAGAAAGGCTATTTTTGAGTAGTCATCACTCAAGACCTACAAAAGTAGGTAAGCTGAAACATGTGTTGCTTAAGTAGTAGGTAAGACATAAGAGCACGAAATGCAGCACAATCACATATAAGACCACATGAGAGTTTTTTATTAGTAGTATTGCATGAATTGAGAGTATATATGCAAAAAAATTGTATTAGAAACACAACAACCCAATATCCGGCAACTATCCAAACAGTTTGCAATAAATATTGGCACTTGGCAGGGTGATAAGCAATACAATGCAGGACAAAAGATATTGATATTGCACATTTAAGAAAGAAAAAACCAATACCTCAAAATTAACAATCTCTGAAATCAAATGCCTTTCAAACTTCAATGACAGTTCCCGCAACTCGTATACTTTAATTTGCGGTGGGTAAATGCCTGAATTAATTAAATCATTACAATTGGTAAGAGATCGTCGTCATCGGGAAAAGCTGGGATAGCAAGTGTGTAAGATAAAAGATGACTAACGAAAATGAATAAAGATGCAGAAAGCATCTGTTTTTTCCTTCTTCTTTTTCTCATAAAACACTACAAAATGCACGAAATGGCACAGAAATACTTTAGCTCATTTCATTTTGTAAAATTGACATTTGACCATCTTCAATAAGCTTTGAATAAGCATCAAGACAAAATGCCCTTTAGTTGATATGTGGCGTGTGAATTAATGACGTATATACACAGGCCACAGAGATGGAACTGCATAATCATCAGACACGTATTGACATATGATGCATACAATAGTCTTTAAATAGAACATAACATTTTATGGATCAAAGATGAAACATCAAGCATAAAATCATGAAATTGTTTTACAGTGACTGTAAAGCGTTGTTCATGCACTTTCAGTATCCAGTTGGACATCAGGAAACTTAACTCACCTGAGGCAATGAGATACTCCCCATCAGGAGACACCTTAATTCTAGTTGTTGCAGTTTCAAATCTCAGATCTTGGATTATATCTAGTCTTTGCAAATAATCTACCAAAAGAGAATACCAATGTGTCAATATTAGAGAAAAATGTCCCAAAGAAGGTGCTCTTATCAAGAAACTAGAAAGTAGTAAAGTTTTACTTCCATACCTATGCGCAAAAATCATACTACTAAATAATACGGAGTAATTAATTACTCGGTACTTTGCTAACACAAGCTACATATGGTCATTAATAAATCCTTACGGTTTCCATTTAGTCCTTGCTAGTTGGGTAGGGTAATATAATAAGCTCAACATCATCAGTATTAAATCAAGTCTCTAAAGGACCATTATTAACCTGCATACGTTTTCTATCATAGAAGACCAAAACATTATATTTCAAAATGCAAAATCCAAAAGAACCCAACTTTGAATTTAAATTAACTAAGATTTATAAGCCTTTGTATCCCTATGTGGCTATGTTAATTACAAGAAAAATGAAAGTTAGTATTACAGCTAGTTAAATATGTTGTACTAATTTATTATGCTTATTGATGATTGACAGGTTAAAAAGGCATTTCATTATTTACTGATGTATCAAAATCTCTGCTACTGCAAAAGAAAGAAGTATTCCTATTTCATTGTTATGGATAGGTAAAAACAGGAGGCAACCGAAGTGCATGAAAATGCACTTGCACTTAATTATAGTTCTTTCACCCTCAACAATCACTTCAGATCCGAAAGAGACCAACTTTAAGCTCCAGAAGAACTAAATAACCGAGGTTAAGGAATGAAAATGTTAACTGCGGTTTTCTATATAAACATACTCTAATCATACCACTAAAGTTTTAACATGTAAAGCACGTGTTTTCATCAAAACAAAGAGAACACTAATTAAAATACTTGGATCTTTGCGAAGGGCTTTGAGCTTCTTAGGTGGAATCCATGAAGCTAAAGAAGGGTTTTGGCCGGCGACCGTGTACATCTTGACGCCATTGATCGACGTGGATTTCAAATTCCCACCTTGGTACGCCATTGCTTAGTTTCCTTTTCAGTTGGACTCAGGAAGCACTCCCAGAAGAGGCTATGGGTTATTGACCTATTGTACAAGGAGATAGTTGGAGCTTTAGAACAGGGTTTTTGACAAATAGGGTTTTGGAAAAAACTGCGCCTTTATTTTTGGTACGCCGCACCCAAATTGTAAGTTAACCTCTTTTCCCCCACGGCAGCTTTTTGGCCTCCGGGCAAACGAGTCTAGATTAGGGATGGGCGCGGTCCGATCCGGTCCAATATTTGGTCGAACTCGTACTCGTACCGTTACTATTCAAATTGTTCGATTCAATTCAGTCTTAGACCTAAACCCGTTCGGTACGGTTTCATTTTGAAACGGGACAATACTATGCCATACAAGTATCAAGCAATGCCACCTTTTTCATACTCATTCCACACATTTTATTAATTTTATTAATAAATCCACACATTTTATTAATTTTTATACTCATTCCATCCCAAATCGACATGCAAAGTTAATATTTTTTGGACAACCAATGTTAAAGTTAATTTCTCTTTATTGATAATTAATCTAATTTTTAATAATTAAAATAAACATATTCATAAACTACATTGAAATCTCTTCAAAGTTGCAAGCTCCAAATTAAATATAATTAAAAATTGACATTCTAGTTAAGTGAATAAAATGAAACTGTTTGACCAAGAAAAATAAATTTTGCAAAACAATTTGGGAAGAAGTTAGTATTACATAATTAATAAATTTCATTATAAATTATAGTAGTACAAATTTTAGTAATTAAACTATATATCGGTCCAATTCCAGGTTTCCTATGAACTAGCAAAGATGGTGAAAGTGTGAAGGCACTAGTCAAAGTAATGATATGAATGTAAATTTAAATAATTAAATCATACTTCAGTCCGGTTCGGTCCGGTACCGGTTCTCACTTTATGAGAACCGGTCATGGCATTGTTTAGAATCGGTACGGTTCAGTTCGGGACAAAACAAATTGAGATCCGTTTCAAACACCATTTTTCAGTCTAGTACAATATCGGTTCGGTTCGGTTCGGTACCATGCCGGTTCGGTATTTTTGCCCACCCCTAGTGTGTAGGGGTGTGTTCTGTTCTTTCGGTTTGGTTTTGACCTAAAACCAAATATAGAATCAAAGTAAAAAATTCAGTTCAATTTCGGTTCGGTTTTACACTCCAAAACTTGGAATTACGCTTTGATTGGTTCGATTTGTCACGCCCCAGACCGCGTCTGTGCCACGTGGACAACCGTCGTACAATCCAATAAGAATAACCGCAGTTCATTCTTACCGAATTGCACAAGACGTTCGATAGATACATATGCCAAAACCGATTAGTAAACATACATAACAACATCAACATACAATCAAACACATAGCGGAATATAAGTGTTTAATAAGAACCCACACAAGGGTAAAACAGGGGCTCGCAGGCTCCATTAATTTATAAGTCAAAATAGTCCCATGAGCATTATTTAATTATTTAGAAATAGAATCGGAGGAAGCACGAACCACGTCTTCTCTCCATTGATCTCCCGAGCAACGGGTGCAGGAAGTAAGCTCTAGCTTCAACCTGAAAGGGTGGTTCCCCCGAGGGATCAGTACTACAGAAAAGTACTGGTGAGGGCAAACTGTATGTAATGTAACTAACGTTTCTCACGTGAGACCCTCAAAATAGGGTGATAGTACAATATGGGCATAACTCTTAGCTACCCCTTTTCAAAACAAAATGTATACATATATACATATGAGTAAAAATATCTGGCCCGTGGGCCCATTTGTCTTTCAAATCATTTAGGCGTAACCGCCTCATTAAATTCATCCTTCCCATGCCTTACCCTCGAGTGGAGTCACCCGCAGGCTAACTCACTCGATACTAAAATATAATTACTGTGGGGCCCTTCGGACTCCCATATCCCAGACATGGTTTAAATCAATCCCTAGGCCAAGGAAAATATTATATCGGGAACTCATTCCCGATCAAGCACATTTAATCATTTAAAATCATTACTTCGAGGTTCACCTGCCTCGAGGACTATCCGTCCTTGCTATCATAGTTTTCATTTCCGGGTTAACCCCGCCTCGAGGAGTACGCATACACCCTCATCCTATGTGTAATTTACTGGAGGTTAACACACCTCAAGGACTACACGGGCCCTTGTTACCTATATGCACTTTGATGGAGGTTAACACACCTCAAGGACTGCATTTGCCCTTGTTACCTATATGCAATTTGATGGAGGTTAAACACACCTCAAGGACTGCACTTGCCCTTGTTACCTATATGCAATTTGATGGAGGTTAAACACACCTCAAGGACTGCACTTGCCCTTGTTACCTATATGCAATTTGATGGAGGTTAAACACACCTCAAGGACTGCACTTGCCCTTGTTACCTATATGCAATTTGATGGAGGTTAAACACACCTCAAGGACTGCACTTGCCCTTGTTACCTATATGCAATTTGATGGAGGTTAAACACACCTCAAGGACTGCATTTGCCCTTGTTACCTATATGCAATTCGATGGAGGTTAAACACACCTCAAGGACTGCACGGGCCCTTGTTAACGTTTGAGTGTAGAGGACTCCTCCTGGTCCTACAGAGTATTATATAACCTTACTTGGTCCCGGGTATTCACCCGCCATTTATAATCTGCCACGTGCCTCGCCCGGTCGTGGTCTATAATTTCTTTACTAATGACTAGTTCAAGTCTTAGCGTTTAAACCGTATTCCAAGCCTTATCATTTTAAACATCATATTTCATGCAATTCCATGCAAAATATTCATATATAGGATGACCAGAATTAATCCCACGTCGAACCGGGTCCGATTTGGGTTTTTAGCAAAAATCAGTCCTGAAAGCCGAGACATAACCGGCGCCGGTTTTACCCATAACCGGCGCCGGTTTACTGATTTTATTGAGTAAACCGAACCATAACCGGCGCCGGTTTTGCCTATAACCGGCGCCGGTTACCCCCTGGGCAACCGGTCAACATTTTGGTCAACGCCTGTTTGACCATCCAAACGGGGTCCGATTTCCACGAAATTTTATACGCTTATGCAACAAGTCATTCTTAGTCCAAAAATATTATTTTGGACGTCCAAATCATCACACATAATTTATAATCATTTTCTGTCCAAATTAAAGCATATTAAATACACTTATTAATACTATTAATAAGTAAATCTTTCCTTAATAAATTCTTAGATGTATTTAACATTTCATGGGATATCATTCTGTTTTATTTGAGTAATCTCATTCCCAAGCCCAAATCATGGCTCATGATCCTTTCTTACAACCTTTTATTCATACCATTAATTGATTAATCATTAATTATGCCATATTTCCATAATCCATAATTAATATGACTAATCACATATCACATATCTTTCTATATTTCTTTACTAGATAACTCTAGTTAATCACATACACGGTTCAAGTATACCTTCTTATTCATTTAAGAAAAATATACTCATGATTAATTAATAAATTAATCTATTTTTTTTTTTTATCATATAACACTTCCATAATCCATATTTAATATGGATAATTACAACTTTACAACCCTTTTATATTCACTTACTAGATTATTCGAGCTTATCTCATACATGGTTCAAGTATATCCTCTTATGCATTAAGAAATATATACTACGTACTAATGATTAATTAATAAATTAATCTTTTTTTTTCATTAGTCATATACACCATGACTAATCATGCATTTTAATCCATTTCATCATTTCTCAAATCATGGTTATGATTTTATTTAGGTAATCCCACGTTTGAACCAAGAGTTACAAGACACGTAGTCGTCCACTCACCTTGAAATGATGCTAGCGAGTTTTTATCCCCTTTGTTTGAACTCCGACGACCTTTGAATTTTCCGGCGAAACCTCCGGCCGCTCCGGCGACTTTCCGGCCACTCCTAGGTTCCTTGAGAAGTCCAGAATACCTTGGTAAAATTCCTAACAAGGTTTCACAACCAAAAGTGGTATAAACATCAAAACCTTCCAAGAAGGTGTTTTCCGGTGAACCGGTCATAACTCCGTTTATGGTTAAACTTAACCCTCCAAACCCTCATTATACACCTCTATAAGTGTAGAACAAGTTTAAGGGTCCATCATATGATTTATAAAATCATATGAGATTAAATGGAGGATGAAAAATGTTAATGAGATTATTACCTTAATTAATCAAGGTTTTTCTCTTCTTTTCTAACTCTTTCTTCTTCCTTGGACCTCCTTATGGCTTGAGCTTGATTATGGCTATGGAAATGGAAAGTTTCAGACCTCCTCTCTCTTCCTTGGATGCCTTGGGTCGGAGTTATGGTAGGAAAATGAGTGAAGGAAGTCATTTTGGACATATCACTCAAAATCATATGGGGGGTCCCTTTTCCTTTATTTCTTTGTCCCCCAATCCCTTCATGCATGTACCTCTACAGCTCCCTCTCCCTCAATCAGCCGACTTGGTTGATATTATTTTGTGGGGTGGCCCCCACTCACGTGGGAGGTCATCCCTTTATGTCCAAAAGTGTATTTTCGGTCCCGAAAGTTGTATTTTCCGGACTGTTTTAATTAAATTTTATTTTATCGGGTCAAGTAAAATATATGTCATTCTTCCAATTAATATTGGACTCTAAAATGAATATATATTACCCAACTTCAATTTAGTGGTCCCCAGAATTTATTTCGGACTGTTATCTGATTAATTAACTATACCGATAATGGGACCTTGTTTGATTGAAAGGCCAACTTTATGGCTCAACATTAATTTACACCATCATATAAATATTATCTAAACCAAGATGAATATAATATGTGGTCCGTAAATATCGGATGGTCGCCGCCCACGTGTGGGCCCAACGTGTATTTTACTGTTGAAGTAACAGTAAAAATGAGAACGCGTTGCCTCGAAAATTCACTCGTCATTTCTCATTACTTAATATGTGGTTTCATATCTGGTGACACTTTAATAAAATGTTACACTTATTTTTAAGTGGTCCGAACTGTATGAACAGATAAAACCTTATCTGTTTATTCTTATACAAAATATCTCCAAGGTAGGGTCCTCCAAAAGTACCCACCTCTAACATGTCAAGTTGCTCATTATTATCCATCATCCCATGTTTTGGGTTCTTAAAATATTTATATTCCTTCTGTTATTAATTTGTAGCCTTCCGAATTATTATCAGTCCGATAATTAAGGACTCACAATTATCGAATAGTGACACCGGCCCGCTTGGCCGTCTAGTTGTCATTCTTTATATTACCGGGGCCCAGGAACCATCCATACTATCATAATAGTATCATTTTGATAAACATTAATATTTTATAAACTCGAAATGTCATGAGTGGTCCCCACATCTAAATTAATAATCCTTTATTAATTTAAGACAAAATTTTTACTTTCTCATTTATCAAGACTACTCTTAGCCTTGATTTACCTTCTTTAACCCAGTACTTGATGAAAAAAAAATCTCACAGTAAAATTCGGGTCCGGTGTTACAAGTTCACCCCACCTTACAGGAATTTCGTCCCCGAAATTAACGTTTGAACTTTGAGAAACATTTCTCCCTTCATTATCTGAAGCTAACAATTTTGAAAATAAAAATATTTATGGAAATTAAGGTTTAATTTAATAATACCTTGTGCCATAGTCGGGCCTAACAAATGGCTTCCGCCATTCCCGGCCTTTACGAGCGAGCTCGCCATTGACTTGTAGAAGGTACCATGTTTGAGGCAACCCTAGTTGGGTTTTCAACCCCCGTGACCCCTCCTCTAGCTCCTGATGTTCCTTCACACGTACGTTGAGGACAAAGGACCTTGATGTGGCCTGTTTCTCCACAAAAGTAACATCTAGATGGCTCTCGACATCTCCCGTAATGCCTTCGCCTACAATTCTCGCATTTGGGTGCCCCCGTGCCTCGAGTGCTTGAGCTTTGACTTACCAAGTCCTGGCTCTCACTGAAAAACGGAACTGACTTGTTAGAGTTCCCCTTGCTCTGAAGTTCATACTTCCCCCCTCGTCGTGGAGGGTGAATGATCGCCTGATCTCTTTCTTGTGCTTCCTTTGCATCCCTTGCTTGCCTTTCCTTCCAAAGCTCCTCCCCCTGGAGACCCTGGGCTACTACTTGACTAAAAGTCATGTTAAATTGGTAGGTCGCTCTTTCGCGTATTTCCAAATTGAGTGCATTCCAAAAATGGTTTGCCATTCGGTTCTCATTTGCGGCATACTCAGGCAAGAACCTTGCCAGATGTCGGAATCTTTGTTCCAGTTGCTTCACCGTAAACTCATTTCCCTGTTTGAGATCGATATATTCCCTCCTCTTTCGATTTACTTCGAAAGAGGTGTAAAACTGCTCATAGAATGCTTGCTCGAAGTTGTCCCACGTGACAACCCCGTCAAACTTACCCTTGGTGCCTTCCCACCAAGTAGAAGCTAAACCCTCCAATAATCTGGTGGCTACCCTTAACTTTCGTTCCGGGACCACTTGCATGTCATCAGCCGCATCATTTAACCTTTTTATCCACTCGGCTGCTTCCGATATGTCCTCTGTCCCATCAAATGGTTTGCACCCCAAGGCTCTAGCCTCTTTGAGGTACTTTGAGATCTTAAAGAATGGTGCTTCGCCATCAGAATTTATGACTGTTCTAGCCTGTGCTCTATGAGCACCCCGACCCCTCCTGAGAGAGGTCTTGCCTCTGACATGTCCCTCCCGAGATCCCTGTCGTTGTCTTCCCCTTTCAAGTTGGTACCATCGGTACATCTCACTAACCTGGTCAGGAGGAATACTATGTATGTCCTCTTCCTTGTTTTCCTCAAAAGAAGTTTCATCTGACTCGCTTTCAGGGTGATAAGTTGAGTCATCCTCCGAGTTCCACGACTCGAATTCAGTCACATTGTGATCCGCCATCGCGACTCGTGTTCGTGGGCCTTGATTGCCCATACCTCGCCTTCTACGCGACCTTGATATCCCCCGATTGGCTTGCCCGGCTATCCCCGGTGCGCGCCCTCTCGGATTTCCTCGAACTGCCCTATCGCTACCACCCATTCCTGAAAGAATATGTTGGAATGAGTCTTTGGACTCGTTTGAATGTCGATTGACAGAAACGTACTCAAGACACAACTTGGCTCAAGTCACTGCCATACCAATTGTTAAGGGGCCCATCTTAACAACCAGAGACCTTGCAACTCGATAACCAAATGCTCTTAAAGTACAAAACTTATGCTCATGGTTTTTCATTGAAAACTGTTTTGATAGAAACTCTGTTGAGAGGTTGACTATATAGTTTAGAAACCGTTTGGCTCTGATACCACTTAATTGTCACGCCCCAGACCGCGTCTGTGCCACGTGGACAACCGTCGTACAATCCAATAAGAATAACCGCAGTTCATTCTTACCGAATTGCACAAGACGTTCGATAGATACATATGCCAAAACCGATTAGTAAACATACATAACAACATCAACATACAATCAAACACATAGCGGAATATAAGTGTTTAATAAGAACCCACACAAGGGTAAAACAAGGGCTCGCAGGCTCCATTAATTTATAAGTCAAAATAGTCCCATGAGCATTATTTAATTATTTAGAAATAGAACCGGAGGAAGCACGAACCACGTCTTCTCTCCATTGATCTCCCGAGCAACGGGTGCAGGAAGTAAGCTCTAGCTTCAACCTGAAAGGGTGGTTCCCCCGAGGGATCAGTACTACAGAAAAGTACTGGTGAGGGCAAACTGTATGTAATGTAACTAACGTTTCTCACGTGAGACCCTCAAAATAGGGTGATAGTACAATATGGGCATAACTCTTAGCTACCCCTTTTCAAAACAAAATGTATACATATATACATATGAGTAAAAATATCTGGCCCGTGGGCCCATTTGTCTTTCAAATCATTTAGGCGTAACCGCCTCATTAAATTCATCCTTCCCATGCCTTACCCTCGAGTGGAGTCACCCGCAGGCTAACTCACTCGATACTAAAATATAATTACTGTGGGGCCCTTCGGACTCCCATATCCCAGACATGGTTTAAATCAATCCCTAGGCCAAGGAAAATATTATATCGGGAACTCGTTCCCGATCAAGCACATTTAATCATTTAAAATCATTACTTCGAGGTTCACCTGCCTCGAGGACTATCCGTCCTTGCTATCATAGTTTTCATTTCCGGGTTAACCCCGCCTCGAGGAGTACGCATACACCCTCATCCTATGTGTAATTTACTGGAGGTTAACACACCTCAAGGACTACACGGGCCCTTGTTACCTATATGCACTTTGATGGAGGTTAACACACCTCAAGGACTGCATTTGCCCTTGTTACCTATATGCAATTTGATGGAGGTTAAACACACCTCAAGGACTGCACTTGCCCTTGTTACCTATATGCAATTTGATGGAGGTTAAACACACCTCAAGGACTGCACTTGCCCTTGTTACCTATATGCAATTTGATGGAGGTTAAACACACCTCAAGGACTGCACTTGCCCTTGTTACCTATATGCAATTTGATGGAGGTTAAACACACCTCAAGGACTGCACTTGCCCTTGTTACCTATATGCAATTTGATGGAGGTTAAACACACCTCAAGGACTGCATTTGCCCTTGTTACCTATATGCAATTCGATGGAGGTTAAACACACCTCAAGGACTGCACGGGCCCTTGTTAACGTTTGAGTGTAGAGGACTCCTCCTGGTCCTACAGAGTATTATATAACCTTACTTGGTCCCGGGTATTCACCCGCCATTTATAATCTGCCACGTGCCTCGCCCGGTCGTGGTCTATAATTTCTTTACTAATGACTAGTTCAAGTCTTAGCGTTTAAACCGTATTCCAAGCCTTATCATTTTAAACATCATATTTCATGCAATTCCATGCAAAATATTCATATATAGGATGACCAGAATTAATCCCACGTCGAACCGGGTCCGATTTGGGTTTTTAGCAAAAATCAGTCCTGAAAGCCGAGACATAACCGGCGCCGGTTTTACCCATAACCGGCGCCGGTTTACTGATTTTATTGAGTAAACCGAACCATAACCGGCGCCGGTTTTGCCTATAACCGGCGCCGGTTACCCCCTGGGCAACCGGTCAACATTTTGGTCAACGCCCGTTTGACCATCCAAACGGGGTCCGATTTCCACGAAATTTTATACGCTTATGCAACAAGTCATTCTTAGTCCAAAAATATTATTTTGGACGTCCAAATCATCACACATAATTTATAATCATTTTCTGTCCAAATTAAAGCATATTAAATACACTTATTAATACTATTAATAAGTAAATCTTTCCTTAATAAATTCTTAGATGTATTTAACATTTCATGGGATATCATTCTGTTTTATTTGAGTAATCTCATGCCCAAGCCCAAATCATGGCTCATGATCCTTTCTTACAACCTTTTATTCATACCATTAATTGATTAATCATTAATTATGCCATATTTCCATAATCCATAATTAATATGACTAATCACATATCACATATCTTTTTATATTTCTTTACTAGATAACTCTAGTTAATCACATACACGGTTCAAGTATACCTTCTTATTCATTTAAGAAAAATATACTCATGATTAATTAATAAATTAATCTATTTTTTTTATTTATCATATAACACTTCCATAATCCATATTTAATATGGATAATCACAACTTTACAACCCTTTTATATTCACTTACTAGATTATTCGAGCTTACCTCATACATGGTTCAAGTATATCCTCTTATGCATTAAGAAATATATACTACGTACTAATGATTAATTAATAAATTAATCTTTTTTTTTCATTAGTCATATACACCATGACTAATCATGCATTTTAATCCATTTCATCATTTCTCAAATCATGGTTATGATTTTATTTAGGTAATCCCACATTTGAACCAAGAGTTACAAGACACGTAGTCGTCCACTCACCTTGAAATGACGCTAGCGAGTTTTTATCCCCTTTGTTTGAACTCCGACGACCTTTGAATTTTCCGGCGAAACCTCCGGCCGCTCCGGCGACTTTCCGGCCACTCCTAGGTTCCTTGAGAAGTCCAGAATACCTTGGTAAAATTCCTAACAAGGTTTCACAACCAAAAGTGGTATAAACATCAAAACCTTCCAAGAAGGTGTTTTCCGGTGAACCGGTCTTACTCCGGTCATAACTCCGTTTATGGTTAAACTTAACCCTCCAAACACTCATTATACACCTCTATAAGTGTAGAAAAAGTTTAAGGGTCCATCATATGATTTATAAAATCATATGAGATTAAATGGAGGATGAAAAATGTTAATGAGATTATTACCTTAATTAATCAAGGTTTTTCTCTTCTTTTCTAACTCTTTCTTCTTCCTTGGACCTCCTTATGGCTTGAGCTTGATTATGGCTATGGAAATGGAAAGTTTCAGACCTCCTCTCTCTTCCTTGGATGCCTTGGGTCGGAGTTATGGTAGGAAAATGAGTGAAGGAAGTCATTTTGGACATATCACTCAAAATCATATGGGGGGTCCCTTTTCCTTTATTTCTTTGTCCCCCAATCCCTTCATGCATGTACCTCTACAGCTCCCTCTCCCTCAATCAGCCGACTTGGTTGATATTATTTTGTGGGGTGGCCCCCACTCACGTGGGAGGTCATCCCTTTATGTCCAAAAGTGTATTTTCGGTCCCGAAAGTTGTATTTTCCGGACTGTTTTAATTAAATTTTATTTTATCGGGTCAAGTAAAATATATGTCATTCTTCCAATTAATATTGGACTCTAAAATGAATATATATTACCCAACTTCAATTTAGTGGTCCCCAGAATTTATTTCGGACTGTTATCTGATTAATTAACTATACCGATAATGGGACCTTGTTTGATTGAAAGGCCAACTTTATGGCTCAACATTAATTTACACCATCATATAAATATTATCTAAACCAAGATGAATATAATATGTGGTCCGTAAATATCGGATGGTCGCCGCCCACGTGTGGGCCCAACGTGTATTTTACTGTTGAAGTAACAGTAAAAATGAGAACGCGTTGCCTCGAAAATTCACTCGTCATTTCTCATTACTTAATATGTGGTTTCATATCTGGTGACACTTTAATAAAATGTTACACTTATTTTTAAGTGGTCCGAACTGTATGAACAGATAAAACCTTATCTGTTTATTCTTATACAAAATATCTCCAAGGTAGGGTCCTCCAAAAGTACCCACCTCTAACATGTCAAGTTGCTCATTATTATCCATCATCCCATGTTTTGGGTTCTTAAAATATTTATATTCCTTCTGTTATTAATTTGTAGCCTTCCGAATTATTATCAGTCCGATAATTAAGGACTCACAATTATCGAATAGTGACACCGGCCCGCTTGGCCGTCTAGTTGTCATTCTTTATATTACCGGGGCCCAGGAACCATCCATACTATCATAATAGTATCATTTTGATAAACATTAATATTTTATAAACTCGAAATGTCATGAGTGGTCCCCACATCTAAATTAATAATCCTTTATTAATTTAAGACAAAATTTTTACTTTCTCATTTATCAAGACTACTCTTAGCCTTGATTTACCTTCTTTAACCCAGTACTTGATGAAAAAAAAAATCTCACAGTAAAATTCGGGTCCGGTGTTACACGATTTGTTTTGGTTCGATATCGGTTTTTCAGCTTTTTACAATAAAAAAAAATTGTCATGATAAGAGATCAAATACAAACCATGCTTAAAATACTAACATACAAACTCAATAATATGCAACACTTTGAACTCAATATGCAGTATAAATAATGTAAAGATGCTCCTTATTTAGTGGATAAAGTACTCATAAAAAGCAAAGAGTACTAAAAAGAAAGAAAAAGATCAAAAAAGAAGAAAATGTATGAAAAGAGCTAACTGGTATTCAAAGTTTAAGAATGAGCTAAACTGGAAAAACTCCAGAAATCAGCAGTTAGCCGATTTTCTGGGCAGCCAGCTGAAAGCTGAGTCTTTCAGTTTAACTCATCTGAAATCCAATTCTCTCTTCTCTTAGCACAAAACACTTATACAAAAGACCAACTTGCAGACAAAAGAACAAATTGTTAAAAAGTAAATTTATAAGAGATTTTTAACACATTATGAATTTCTTATAATTTTTTTTACAAAAGCAAGTGTTCGATCGTTGTAAGGAAGCATTGAAACATCACTCAGCTTTATACTAGTTTCTACGTAGGAAAATAAAAGATGAAATATCTTTTATCTTGGATTGAAATGTGTAAACAAGTTGAGCTGAAGATAGTTGATCCGTGTCACTACGTGACAAGAAGAAAACATGCTGCCTCAGTCAAGTGGAACAAAGCAAGTAGATCAAGCAACAGTGAAGATTCATTTTCTCAGCCAACGGTGAAGATGAAGTGATCAAGTCTATAAATACAGAAGGAGTGTGGGATTACCAAGTGTGGAAAAATGTGGTAATTAAGTGGAAAAACAAAGGAGTAGAGTGGATAGAAGGAAATCACACTCTTCACGCTCAAATCCAGCCAGCTGATTTCCCTTCTACACTTAGGTCGCCACCCCCACTTGTCTAACGCTCTTAGACTAGTTATGATTCATACAAATCAATAGAGCTTAGACTAGTTGGTAGTTTAGAACTTACACCCATGTAATCTAGACTAGTGTTAGACATTCTGGAGGGCTTGGTGATCAAATTAAGAAGGTGAGAAAGGACAAGGACATGAGTAGCTCTTGGCGAGTCAATGCCATTAGTGAAAAACCTTGGGAGGACATGAGTAGCTTGGAACGGTGTTCAAGTTCCTCGTGAAAAACCTCACAATCTACGCTTGGGCCAAGGGTAGATTGGGTACTAGATGTAATGGGATATATACATTTAGTGAAAATCCATCTGAAATAGGTTGGGATTGGATGTAGGGGGATTACACCACCCCTGAGCCAGGATACATCGTGTGTCACCTTTACATTCTGTACCTAACACTTATTTCAGTTCTCACTCACCTTCACAACTGCACAAGAAAAACAGCTTGCTCATTTAAACTGTCCAGTGAACTTTCCCAGTTCACTGTGAGTCATCTCCTTGTTATCTGTTCTTCAAAGTGACCTATCCATTGGTCTAAATCCTTCATACACTTGTGTTAGACTAGTTCTAAAAGTCAGTCAAGTTGTTAGAGTAAAGTTCTGTGATATACTTTAACTAAACAAACAGAAACATATTTCGGCAGCCTGATCCTAAGGTTTGGCAGTCAGCTCCCAAGGATTTCTGGCAGCCATCTCCTTCAGGTTTCGGTAGCCTGCTCCCAAAAGTGTTCTGTTTCTTACAAACACATTTGTACAATGTTTAACTCATCTCTCTCACAACTAAAATGGTCATAACCTTTGTCTCTATATAGTGTCATCCTCTTGAGGTCAAGACTTCCGTTGCATGTTTCAATATCTCTCAAAAGATGTTGGAACATATCCAGTTAGAGAATAAGGGGAAGAAAACGAAAAGATTTAAAAGTCTATTCACCCCCCCTCTAGACTTTTACCTCACTTGGAACTTACAGTTGGTATCAAGGGCACTCATCAAACAACATGCAACAAATTGAAAGATACATACATAAAAGACATAATAGATCAATATAGCTACATTATTACATGCAATGAATGTGTAAATGAATTTATAAATCAAACTAAACTAAGCATAACACAAATATTATTTTTCTAGCACAAGAAAATCAAATACTATTGACGATATTAGAATTAATGCTTCACAATTAACAATTAATTTTCATATTTTAATCAGTTCGGTTTGTTCAGTTCGGTTCGGTTTTGAAGGGTAAAAATCAAAACTGAACCAAACAACTACGTTTCAATTCGGTTCGGTTTTTTACATTCGGTTTCGGTTTTTTAGTGGTTCGAACTTATTTGGTTGTGGTTCCATTTATTTGATTCGGTTTCCGATTTTCGGTTTTTCGGACCCGGCCCTAGTCTCGATAAAGGAGATTGGTGAAAGGAGGTACTTGTTTAAATTTTTCCACTCTGTTGATATGAATCGTGTCTTAGATAATGGCAACTGGCTGTTTGATCAGAACTTGATTGTGTTAAAAACTATTAAACCGGGTGATATCCCACTTATGGTTTCTCTAGACACGGTCGAGCTCTGGGTACATGTTCATAATGTGTTGTATAGTTATGATAACCTTGGAATAGCTAGAAGGATTGGGAATTATCTGACTGAATTTGTCACTTGGGATGATAAACAATTTGATGAAAATTGGGAAGCTTATATGCGAGTTAGAGTTCGCATGAATGTAAGTAAACCTTTAAAGATTGGGATCACTTTAAGAAAAAGTAAGGGAAAGGGTACTGGGAAGACTTTAAATATGAGAAGCTCCCAAGTTTTTTGTTTTTGTTGCTGAGTTATTGGACATGCAGAGAAATTTTGTCCCCTAATGTATGAAAAAGGAGGACAAGTTTTGACTAGGCCATTTGGGCCATGGCTAAGAGCGGGTGGATGAAAATCAAAGCCCTCTATGGGTAGCAAATAATTGGTTTCGGAAGGGAGCTCCTCAAGAGGTGGCAAGAACAAGACCTGTGGAGAGGTCAGCGCAGGATATGGACCCAGAAGAGGTAGGTGCAAGCCCTCTAGCTGGAACTGGGGTTGCTACTAATTCAGGACCTTCCCGATTGAATTTGTTGCTGCAATTTGGTATGGATGAACTAGACTTGATGAAGAACATACACAAAAAAGTTGAGCAAAAAATACCACCGGGAAGGCCCCCAAAAGGAGGAGGCCAGACGGCGCTCCGGTCGGGAAATTCCTGACCGGAAGATTACTCTATATATATAGATAATATATATGTGCAGAGCATATATATATATACAAGAATGATCCTGTCCGAACGTTTGGACAGGATCCTCCGTCCGAACATCCCCGTTTGGGGCCTTTCCCGGTGGAATTTTTTTGATGATTTTAGCATGTTCCTCATCAAGTCTAGTTTACCCATACCAAATTTCAGCTCAAAATTCGATCGGGAAGGCATTCAAATAATTTTTTGAAGTTGACTGCCCCAAACGTCCATGTTCGGACAGTGTTCGGACATACTAGGGCCCCAAATAACTATATATATAGTTATTTATATACTAGGTATATATGTGTGTGTGTGTGAACCACCTTCTGCGGTCCCCATTCTTTTTGAATTTGAATCCAGGAGACTATCTTCTCTTCTTTTTGTTTGCTTGGAAATTGATTATAGAGCAAACTTCTCAATTCAATTGATACACCTGGTTATATTTTCTTTTTCTTGATTACTCCAAAAATATACTAGCTAGTATATATGGAGGTGTGTATATAAAACACACTCCGTAAATGGGTAGTTTGTAAGTGATATAGTGAAGATGTAATATGTGAGGGTGGGTTATGGAAGGGTTTACCAATTAAAAGGCATGAGGTTACTTTTGTAAATTTAAGTGACAACACTTCCTTTACTAAC